GTGGAAGGAAGGCCATATGTTTTTAGGGTACAGAAAGGTGGAGGATATCAAATGGGTGAAGGATATATGCAGGGCCATAACTATGAGTTTATTTTATGCTCTCTTGCTGCAGTGTATCTTAGCTCTCTTGGTGAGCTAGAGGCATTTTGTTTAAAAGAAGTCTTAATGTTTGTTGTAGATATTTTTAAAATCTCTACCCTCAACTCCCTATCTCCTTCCCTGACAGTCTATTGTAAATATTTAGCCCATTTCCATTTGGGCACATCTTATATTATGTAGCCTAAAAGTAATTGAAAATTTTTCTACTTGAATAATTTAGTTTAGGTATTGTTTTCCCTATTAAATAAAGAAACTAAGATGTAGAGAAGTTAAATTACATGGTCAAGCTATTAAATAAGGCTGGGATTATTTCAGAACTTTTAATGCCATTAGTCCCAAGTAGTTTTCAAACTGTGCTCTATTTTATCCAAGGATTCTGAAAATTCTATTCACTTAAAAACATTTAATTTAAAAGTTATAGGAAGAAACAACAATCTTCTAAACGCATTAAGTACTAAACCTTTAGTACATAGTTCACTACTCTGCTTCTAAATTTAAACTTGTTGATGGATAGATCCCAGGAAAAAAAGCTCTATCTCTTGTTTAATCTCTCTTCATATGTTTGGGAGAGCCTATAAATATGCCATGGATGAGGAAGAATGTAATGCTGTGCTGGTTTTTAAAAAACATTTGGACTTGCACGTTTTCTCAAGGTACACTGTGCAAGTGAGGATCTTACTGCAGCAGGTTTGCTGTGCTTGGTGTTGGCCAGGGAAGGGACCCATGCATGAGCTTAGTGTAGTCCCTGGCATGGCATGCTGCTGTTACACGACAACTGGACCATGTGGCAGTAATACTATGTTATACATAGTGTTAGCAGTTGTAAGGGCTGGAAGCTCTTTGTCTGATTTTTATATTTGTGATAAATAATTTTTGTATCTATCTTTCAAACAAAAATTTCCAACTACTTCTCTTTAAATTTCCTGTATCAGTTTAATTTGGGACTGTGCTGAAGTTGCCAGGAAAGCTATTAGAAATGCTCATGTTTACCTTTGTGAATCAAAAATTTACTCTACACAAGCAACCCAAACAAAATACAAAAGTAAATTAGATATTGAAGCTATATCAGAATAAAGTTGTATCTTTTTAGTGTTAATTATGACATTAGCCATTGAGAAAAAAGCCTTCTTTGTTTTTATTGCATGATAATACCAATTTCATTGTATTTTACACAGTAGAATTCCTAATAATATTTAGATTTATTTGCAAAAAGAGTTATGCTTCTAAGTCATGTTCCAGAATGATTGTGCCTTATCGTGTTGTCCTCTTTGTCTTCACTGTCCTGCTTTTTTTTTTTTTTTTTTTTTTAATTCTTGGTGGTGCTGGGGATCAGTCCGAGAGCCTTGTGTATGGTAAGCACAGAACTGCAACCCCAGCCCACTGTCTTGCTTTTAAATCTTAAATATCTGAGGATTTTTACAATTAGCTTGGATGGTTAGTGAATTTGGTTTGCCTTTAGTATAACAAGAATATCTAGGAAGTCTAACAACCTTGAAATATCAAAAATGTTTAGAAAGGTAAACCACATTCTCTTTTCTCTTAAAATTCTTTGAATTGTGCTCTCTGATTCATTTCCAAATACAGGCTAGTAAAAGAAAGCTTATTTTCTTTTGAATAATGAGCAAGAATTTTACAGCTTTTAAAATATTTCCTGGGAACAACAGATTGGAAACCACTCTGTTTAGTTAAAAATAATTTTATGAAGTTCCTTGTTTGTTTTGGAAGGAAATTGGCTAAAAAGAATAGAATGTGGTTTGGTCAATGTAATTTTGTCAAACAACACTATCAGGATACCTAATACTTGGGATGCAAAAAGGAAGAAGACCTGGCTCTTGTCCTTGAATTTGTACTCTAGCCAGAAAGACAAATCCCTAAGCTGAACATTACATTGTAATCTGGTAAATACAATCACAGAGGAACAGTGTTCTGTATTTGCTGGGAGAGTTGGCAAAGGAGGTGGTATTTGAGGGATGTCTTGGAAGCTAGTAGTTGTTTCCAGGTGGTGAGAAAGCCCTTCTATCTGATGGGACACAACAGAAACAAAATCTTGGAGCCCTTCAGGGACTTGGCAGTTGGGGGATCAGTGAATACAGTTCACTGCAACTAGAGAGTGGAGTGTGTGTGCTGGGGAAGTGTGAGAGGACAGGAGGTGAGGGTGTTGCTTTTGATGGAGCCACAGGAGGAGATGCATTTGTAGGGAGAAGCTGCGTCTGCATTGTGAAGGAAGGGCTCAACATGCCTGTTGAAAAATTTAAACTTCTTGTGTTATGGAGAACCACACCAGGACAGACTTACATTTAGGAAGAAAACACTGGAGGATATATTGTGAAAGGGAGAAATTTGTTCCTTCATTTAATAAATATTTATTGAGTACTTCCTACATGAAAGTAACTATTCTAAGTACTTAACAACCGTAAAAGAGAAAAAGATGTCTGCTGTAGCTGAGTTTACCAATTTAATGTAACAAGGTGTATAATATGCCAATAAACATAATAAATCAATTAACCATACAGTATATTAGGAGGTAATAAATGCCAAGAAAGAAGAAAAATAGAGTAAGGAGACTTGGAAATGCCAGGTGGGGTGTGGTTGCGGTTTAAGTAAAATGGCAAGAGGTCCAGTTCAGCAGCTGTAATAGTGGTCCAAATAAGAAGTGATGGGGACACAGACTAGAGGCTGGACTTTAAAATGTAGGTTAGAAATAGATTAGAAGACAAATTTCTTCTTTTTCTATTTTGAACCTTTTTATTGTAAAATAGAACCCCCCCCCCCAGTTTAAAAAATCCTGCACAAGTGTATGACTCATTGTTTTAAGGTGAATGACAGTGAAACCACCTTGTAAAAAGAAGTGAAACTGTCAACCACACCAGAAGCCCCACCATTTGTCCATTCCAGTCACAAACCCTGCCCTCTTTGACAATCTGATGTTTATGCTAATCGCTTTTCTGCATTTCTTGATAGTTTTATTAGTTTAAATATATATGCCTGGGTTTAGCTTAGTCTTGTCAATTAAAGAAATTGTGATATGTCTTTTAAGTTTTTTAACTTATCAGTTTCTTCCCCTTTTTTTTTTTTTTCCTTACAATTTATTATCTGAAGAACTGGACCATTTGACTTAGAGATTTCCACAGCTTGGATTTTTCTGATTCTAAATTCATTATGTTACTCAACATGTTCTTCTGTCTTTTGTATATCTATATATATATCTTTTGTATATAAATGGACAACTGGACCCAAGGCTTCATCAGCCTTTGGCTTGGCTTGGCTATAGGTAATATTCTTTCATTGAGAAGCATATACTACCTGGTTCTCTTTTACAATGTTAATAGCTGTTTCTGCTCAATGCCTAGAATTAGTAATTCATTGGTGTTGCAAAATTGTGAAATTCTAAGTATATTATATCTATTTTAGTTATTAGCTGCAGTGCTTTTATAAAGAGACATTTCCCTTCATTTACTCTCTGCTTATCTAGTGGTATAGTTCCCATAAGAAAGACAGGTTAAATGCTTTGTTCTTTATTAACTGGTTTTCATGGCACCGAGTTAGTTCCCTGTCATCTACAGTTTTAGTTAATCTGTCAACATTTTCTTCTTTGTGTAACTTTTCAAGACAAAGGAGTGCTAATTGGTGAGTTTTAAAAATTAATAGCTGTTAGCTCCTACTTCTTCACATCTCAGCTACTATATATTGGATTTGGCAAAAGCCCTCCCTATTTTAATACCTGTTTTAAAATCGGCTCATCATGTGTTCTAGAGGATGTTTGTTAGCTATTTTGGGGTTCTCTTGCATTCACCCACATCAGATATCCCATTGATGTTTCTGTCTGATGCTGCTTGTACAGATGTTAATTCCATACAGGTCTTGTGACTGCGTTTGGTCCCAGCTGATTGAATTTTGAGTTTGTAGGGGATATCTTACAACTTAATTTTGTTGTAAATGTTTTCCTTGGGGTTTTAGTTATCTAGTTGCTTGATCTGTTTTTTTCCTCCTCACTATGGAAATCAGGGAGATTAAAAAATGAAACCAAAATGAATGAACAAATAGAAACCCAACTCTCTGCTACCAGTGTCATCTTCCAAAAAAGGGGTCCAGTCTTTGAAGAATTAGGGTGGAATTGAGAATAACTTTGATATTTCTGACATGGAAGATCTGATGGGTGATAATTTCATTGATGAAGTTTTAAAAATAGAAGAAAGGAGCAAAGTTGTAAATAGAAGACAAACTCAATTTTTGATTTCTTAGGTTTGGAATGCTTATGAAATACCCAAATGGGCTGCTTCTTGAATTTGACAGAGAGTGCTAAATGATGGAACATCAACACCTTGGGAGTAAACAAAGCCATTACAAGTCGGGAAATATATTATTTATGGTAAAAATTGCAGTATGAGAAACCAGTAGAATAGAAAGCATGAACTTGAAGATGAAAAACTGGTAGTTTTAATGTGGTTTTCATAAATATGCACAGTAAACACCTATTTACATTTAGTATCAATCCAAAGAGGAAGACATTGTATAAAAATAGATTTACATAGATACAACTTGTGTTTTTGGTCATTAGGTATAGGTGCTATATCTATCTGTTGGATATAATATTAAGTGAATGAATATATAAAATCTGATGTTTAGCATTCATAACTGCTAAACTTGTTTTTAAACTTCAAGTTTTTATATTTTGATTAGACTATAGTGTTCTGTCAAGGAATGTCTGTTTTAAGACTATGTAGGAAAGTCTTCTCTCTCTTATGAGTTATTCCAGATATTTCTGTACATCTCAAAGTGAATTTTTCAAATAATACTCACATTTGGACATTCCTTTTTTAAAAATTGCACTAGCATTATATATCAACCCCAATGATTCACTTTTGATCCCTGTCTTTTCTTCTTCTTTTTCAAAAAACTAGGCCAGCCTTCAGAGACCTGAAATTAAACTTGAATCACTAAAAGAAGACATTAAGGAATACTTTAAAGTATCAGGTTTGTATGTTTTTTCCTAATTCTTTAAGTGTCCCCATACTTCTAGTTACTCATTCAAAATTATAAAAACTATGCTGAATAGGTTTCTATCTAGTGATAATTAGATCAGCCATGGTGCAAGAATAAGGAACACTCTGTGCTTTATAATCACTATTAAATATGTTTATCATCTTGCAAAATGTCCTTAAGGTTGTAAGTATATTCTTAGTAAAGTACCTTGTCATTTTGCTTTTTACCTGGGGCTTTTTTCTTTCTACATTTTTTTCCTACCTCTTCTGTGCTTTCAAACAAAAAGAAAATCTTAATTTTTTTTTTTTTGGTAGAACAAGAAAGTTTCTCTATAGAAACCCATGCATATGAAAAATGAGATATTAAGTGATGGTAACTCATAATAATCTGCATCTGTTGTCCAAGAACTTAGTGACTAGTTAATTGTAACTAGTTACTTGTGCCTGTCTGGGTCAGGTGCCAGACTGTTTCCTGCCTTCCCCTTGGCACATTTGTCATAGCAACATCCAAAGATTTTGGCCTTCAGCAAGCACCTTGATAGACGAAGAAGGAAATGTTTCTCGCAACTTGAGAAAATGGCACAAAAGTTTAAATTTAAAAATATATCATGTTGATGACTTTGCTACTCAGTATTAGCTGAGGGTCATGGTAAAGGTGTAGTAAGTAATTCCTTAATACCATGTGTTACATAGCATTTAGCAGTTGACAAAGTTCTTTCACAAATGAATCTGATGCCAACGATTTAGTGAGTTAAATTTTGTTATTTGTATGTTATTTAATGAACTTTATGTTAATATATTTTATTCTTTTTTTTATTCCTTAAAAACAGGTTGGGAGAAGAAACTTCAGAATGCTGTTTATAGTGAACTGAACGTGTGAGTTTTTCCCACCTATTTTGAAATACAGTTTTGTTAAGCTATATTTACTTTGTAAGTAACAAAAGTTATGTTTAAAATGCTTACTTGCAAGTCTTGCTTCTTTGGGATATCAAAATATTTTTTTGATGTACTAAGGATACTGGTCCTGAAGTCTACCAAATATATAGTGCATTTTAGCCTAATTCATTATCTGTATGAAGTTATAAAAGTAACTGCAGATGACCAGGAATTATGTCATTTGTATTAAACCCAGATCAGTTTCTGAGTGTGTGGTTCATGCTGTTGTGAAAGTGTTTTACCTTTTACCTTTGTCAGTTTGTTATGAGAGGATTTCCTTTTACCCTTTATAACTCAGAGATCACTGATGTATTATTTCAAATGCAGTAAACATGCTTCTGAAGGAAAAAAAACAAAACAAAAAAACCCCAAATATCGCTCTGTTTGCTCATTGTATTATTATTTCTCATTCATATTTATATGGCATTTCAAGTAAGTTAATATAATTAAAAATTACTACAACCTTGCCTGGTAATTAATAATGAAGAGATTGGTTTTTGTTATCATACCAAGAATTTTATATTAACAATTTGGGCTGGGGTTGTGGCTCAGTGGTAGAGCCTCACACGTGCGAGACCCTGGGTTCGATCCTCAGCATCACATAAAAATAAATAAGTGAAATAAAGGTATTGTGTCCAACTACAACTAAAATATAAATATTTAAAAAAACCAATTCACTCATTCAGCATAATTAGGGAATATTTCTTCTAATATTTCAGATAACTGGAGCTTACTAACATTCTTTTTATTGTCATAATTTTAGATATTACACTTTTTTCTATCCTCACAAACTTACAAATATAAAAACAATTGACCTTTTTCTTTGCAAAATTGGTGTCATCATTAAGAACGTAAGTTTCTTTTTGTTGTTGCTGTTGTTTGTTTTGGTACCAGGGATTGAACCCGAGGGTACTTTACCACTGAGCCACATCCCCAGCCCTTTTTAATACTTTATTTTGGGACAGGATCTCACTGAGTTGCTTAAGCCCTCACTGAGTTGCTTAGGCCCTTGCTGAGTTCCTGAGGCTGGCTTTGAACTTGTGATCCTCCAGTCTCAGCCTCCTGAGCCACTGGATACAGGTGTGCACCACTGGGCCTGGCAACATCAGTGTTTTCGTTTATCTAGATTTACCATCAGGGTCTGTTAAAACATGTACAACTATTTGCCATCACACAAAATACAAATCCAGAATGTTAGCTTTTGTAGTATTCAACATTCTATTATGAATAAATTATTTATTGAGTAACTGCCATGTGCCATGTGCCAGTACTGTGCTAGGCATTGGGGATGTAGAAAGTAAACACAATTCTGCCTTCATGGAGGTTATAGTCTTAGTTCTTATGCCTGTTGGTTTTGTTTTGTTTTGCATTTTTACTGCTATCACTTTATTTGTTTCTAATATTCTAACACTTCCACTTCTAACTTGCCCTCTCTAATCTATGATTAACTGGGAAATAAGATTACACAGCTTAACCAGACTATTTCCAGTTTTTTTTTTCCTTCTGAAATTAGAAGACACAGATGAAGGCCTGTGGACATATGCTTTAGATACACATTTTTTTCTAAATTAATATTTATTTTGCTTATTACTATCTTCCCCATTGGTTTTTGAATTCTTAAATAATATCAACTTAGGTGCTACCTATTAATTGAAGTTGACTGTGACTATACCTTTAGTGGTACTAATAATCAGAGGAATAGATATTTATCATGACAATAAGCTGCCTCTTGTGTATAATTCCAAACATTGGATAATATGAGGATGTTTTATTAATGATTGCTATTTTTGTGACAATATATTCCTGAAAGCAGTTTTGTGTGGCAGACAGCAGGGACTATCTTTTTTTTTTACCTGATAGCAGGGACTATCTTTCATTCATTATCATATTTCCAACATTCTACATGATAGAACTTTAAATAAATATTTTTGTAATAACTTGTTGGGAATTTTAAAGGAGCTCAGTAGTACTACCTTTCTTCCTCATTTTGGTTCTGAACAAATAGAAAGTTAAAAGAAAACAGAATGGCAAATGGAAGATTGAAATTATACTTTATGACTGCTAAAGATTAGGTAGGAGAGCATAGCTTAGTGCAAGAGCAAAATGAGTGCCTCACCTAAACTCTAAAACTAAATAGACTTTATATTCCAGTCAAATACCAATGTATCACTGTGAGCATGTTCAGTTTATTCTTCCCAGATTTCAACATTGGATAAAGCATTTAAATTTATCTGTAGTATAGTGAGGACCTGGAGAGAGGCTGAGAGAGTTAGGGTGATGGAGTTCTTGTTACAGAGAAAGGCATATCCTAAGTGGGATGAAGTGTCTCCCCTAACATAAGTCAGGAGAATAAAGTGGACTTAGTATATTCTGTCCCTTTTTTCATTAGCTGCAACCATTAGATGGAAAGTAAAAAGTAAAGTAGTAGTATTCATTAGGTAATACTAAATAATTGAAGCTAAACATGCATTCATGCCGAATAGGTGTGTGGAATACTTGGACTACACAGATAGGTTAGCTCTTCCCACTTCAGATTGTGTATTTTGGTTAATTATCTTTTCTGTTTATTTTAAGCAATTAGTTAAATATTTATTAACTAATCAGCGTTATAATAATGATAATTGACATTGCTGGCATGCTTATTTTGCACCGGGTGCTATGCTAAGCATTTTATATACATTGGCTTGTTAATGTAGTCTTTGTAACAAGTCTACGAAGTAGAATTTGTTATTATTACCATTTTACAGAAGAGAAAAAGGAGGCTTAGACCATATCTTAGTCTTTTTTGTGCTACTGTAACAGAATACTTGAGACTGGGTAATTTATAAGTAACAGAAATTTGTTGGCTCACAGTTCTGGGGCCTGGGAATTCCAATATCAAGGGTGGTAGCATCTGGTGAGAGCCTTCTTGCTGCATCATCACCTTATGGAAGGCACTTGGGCAAGAAAGGGCAAAAGGAAGCTAAACTCTTCCTTTTGTAAAGCCTGTGAGGGTGAAGACCTCATGGCCTAATCATTTCTCAGAGGAACTTTAATACTGTCACAAGGCAATTAAATTTCAACATGAATTTTGGAGAAAACAGACATCAAAACTTGAATAAAATCTTGGCTGAGGGATAACTCTTTCCTAGTATGCATTGGCCCTGGGTTTGATCCCCAGCAACATACAAAACCAAAACAAAACAAATGCCTTACTATGTATGTATGTATGTGTGTAAATATATGAATGTGTCTAACATATACCTATGTTATAACACAAATAGTCCACTGTTATAGCAGATAAATGTAAATGTCTACCATGCCTTAGAGAGGTATGAGTGTCAAGTAGCAAGGATCCTAAAATAGAAGCTGTTAGGATAATGGGTGCTTACACTAGACCACAAGGTTTTGAGTGAGTCTCTTCATGGCTTTCACTGAAAGAGTGCTTAAGCGGTGGACCTGGGTACCTCCAAAATTATGTGGTTCTCTTTTGCCCTCTTAGTTTTAAATGCTACCTTTTGTTTATTCTCTGAGGTAATGAGAATAATGAATGAGTAAGCTAGATAATTATTGCTTTTATGAAACTTATTTCCCCAGGGGCATACAGACTTTAAGGTGGTAATTAAGGTACAGTAAGTAAAAGAAGCACATAAGACAGGCACTTATCTAGACTTGGGGATTCCATGGTGGCTTGCCGCAATCTGGCTGGGCACAAATCACGAGCCACTGAAGCAGGAACAAACTTTATTTCTGAACGCCCCCGAATGCCACGCATGCGGCCTTCCAGGAACCACCAACCGGAAATCCCTCCTCCAGCACTTCCCCAACCAATGCGAACTCTCCAGGAATCCCCACGAGAACTCCAAAGTAGCGTGCAGAGGCGGACAGTAAAGGTCTAATATACAATTGAATCAATTCAGCATCATCTTAATGGCCTCTCAACCAATACTATTGGCAAAATACCAGGGGCCATTCCGACTCTACTGTGGCTCTCAGCAGTGGCTAACCAAAGGAAACAGTGTTCAGACTGAGATCAGGATCACTGAGCTAGAATTAGTAGAGAGAAAAAGCATTTTTGGCAGAAGGGACTAGCACTCTAGAAGTACAGAGGTAAAAAGACGGTGGCACATTAGAAGAACAAAAAAAAGTTTGTATGGCTGGATGGTAGAAGGTGAAGGGGTCTGGAAGAATCTAATATGTAGGCAGGGATGTGCTTAATTAAGACTTTGTAGACTGGATCCTACGAGGATTTGGGTCCTATGTTAAAATTTTTAGTGACAAAGATCACATTTGTATTTTACTCATTCAACAATATATTAGTTATCTAGTTATGTGCCAGACATTATATCTGACATTGGAAATACATTTGTTCATGAATAAAGAAAACATCATGCTGATTAACAGTCAAGCAAATTGGCAAGTAGATTGCCAGTAGTCTGGAAGCAGAGAAAACTGGTTAGGAACTTGCTAGATGAGGGCAAGGAAGGTATCATTGTTGCCTAAAATAAGTTTCTGTCAGTTGGTAGGGAAATATGAGGAGTATTGAGGGGGACAAGAAGCAGGAATCAAGGGTGTGATTACCTAACAAGAGTGTGTTACCTAACAACTCTTTTCTCTTCAAATTACTAAATGTAAACTCTGTGAGGGCAAAATTTTAGAGTGTTTTATTCACGTTTCTATCTCTTTTACCTTGAACACTTAGCTCTTAAGTATTTCTAAATATGAAACACTTTCTGGTTGCCTCTTGTTACTTGTATTTTTGGATAAATTTCTTTGATTATTAAATAACTTTTAAAATCTTCAGTAAAAGCTCTCAATTTTCAATCCTAAATTTTAAATCTTTTTAAATTTAGATATAATTAAACACATGCCTCTTTATTACACAATGTGAGATAATTTTAGATTATCTTGTATGTAAGATAAGCGCTACTAAGGTATCTAGAGACTCAGGGTTTTTTTTTTGGCAGGGGTTTCCCCAGAGGCCTTCACTTCTATCTCATTGCTCAGCTTTTATTTTCTCATGGCCCTTACTACTACCTGATATTATGTATTTGTTTTCATAATTATTGACTGTCTTTTTTCCTTAGAATGTCAGAGGGGTGTTTCAATTACTACCATACACTCAGTACTTAGAATGGCTCAAGTATTTATTTATTTTTAATTTTTAAATTAATTTTTAAATTTATATATGACAGTGGAATGCATTACAATTCTTGTTACTCATATAGAGCACAATTTTTCATATCTCTGGTTGTATACAAAGTATATTTACACTAATTCATGTCTTCATACATGTACCTTGGATAATAATGACCATCACATTCCACTATCATTTCTAATCGCCTGCCCCCTCCCTTCCCCTCCAACCCCTCTGCCCTATCCAGAGTTCATCTATTCTCCCATACTCACCCTCCCTACCCCAGTGTGAATCAGCCTCCTAATATCAGAGAAAACATTTGGCATTTGGCTTTTTGGGATTGGCTAACTTCACTTAGCATTATCTTTTTGAACTCCATCCATTTACCTGCAAATGCCATGATTTTATTCTCTTTTATTGCTGAGTAATATTCCATTGTGTATATATGTCACATTTTTTTTATCCATTCATCTATTGAAGGGCTTCTAGGTTGGTTCCACAGTTTAGCTATTGTGAATTGTGCTGCTATAAACATTGATGTGGCTGTGTCCCTGAAGTATGTTGTTTTTAAGTCCTTTGGGTATAGACTGAGGAGCGGGATAGCTAGATCAAATGGTAGTTCCATATCCAATTTTCCAAAAAATCTCCATACTGCTTTCTGCATTGGCTGCACCAATTTGCAGTCCCACCAGCAGTGTATGAGTATACCTTTTCCCCCACATCCTCGCCAACATCAAGTATTTATTGATTAAGTAAATATATTTTCTTTGAAAACTATATATTTTGAATGGAAAATGTAATGCTGCTTGGAAAATAGAGTTCATAATGCCATAAAATTTTCAAATTTTGTTCAATTTGTGAATTTATGTAGTATATATATATATATATATATATATATATATATATATATATATATATATATAAAACATGATTAGTATCATAAGAAGTATTTATATTACCATTTCAGTTTTTTAAAAATATATATCATTTAGACAAAGAAATTGGGAGAAATGAAATGATTTGATGTATTGATAAGTTAATGCATTTTTAACCTTAAAATTCCTCTTAATATTATGATATTTATGTGCTAAAATAGACATTTTCATGTGAGTATTTATAGAGATTATCTCAGTTTATGAATTCAGACTATCAAGCAATTTAACTTCTAAAATGATTAAAATTTTTTCATTACTAGAGCGAGAAGAATTAAAGTTTTATTAGATTTTTGCACCCCATGTAAGCACATAGAACAAATATTCTCTTTCATTTATAACATAGACTACAGAGGTAAATAACTTCTTATCAAGAGAATTAATTATCAAGAGTTCTTTATAATATTTAGCTGTTTCTTTTTGCTTGTAGGTATCCTTTACCTAGTCATCCTGCTGCACCTCCTGAACATCTCAAGGAACCTTTGGTATACATGAGGAAAGCTCAGGTTGGCTATTGTTCATTTTAATTTTATTTCTTCATGCTGAGTTATGTAATTCAGAGTAAAGTTCTCATTGATATCAGGAGTACATGTTATTCATTATATGAAAGACTGGGTAGAACCACTAAAGTGGTGTCCCTAGTGCGTGCATACTTTCTTTTTATTTTCAGTAACCAAGGATTATACCTATTTAACTCTAGTAATCCTGAAAAAAAACTGAATAGAAGAGGGGAAAGTGTACTATACTGGCCATTTAAAATATAATAAAATGATCATGTGACAATCTAGTTGTCATGTCTTATGATACTAAAAACATTAAATATGAATGAATCACATTTCCCAACTCTCTTATCTGTCCTTCACTGGGTTCACCTCCAACCTGGTTCACCTCCTTTTGTCAGAGTACTGTTCCTGAGCTGCCTTCTACATGCTAGGTAGGGCTCTCTGACAGCCATTGCTGAGGTGCTCCCTCTTAAAATATCAAACTTTAAAGTAGTGTTATTGACACTATATTTGAAATACGTTTGTTCTCACATACTAATGGATTGGCAATGACTAAGATCACTTTAAAAGAATAAAATAATTTAAATGGAAAAGCTATTAAAATCTGTTAGGATAGAAACTCAATAAATAAGCTTTATCACATTTCCCCCCAATTCTCTTATCTGTCCTTCACTGGGACAGCGTGGTCCTCCTCCTCCCTTTGGCAGGGTACTGTTCCTGAGCCTTCTTCTCCATGCTTGGTAGGGCTCTCTGGTAGCCATTGCTGAAGTGCTCCATGGGCATCACAGAGTTGTACTTCACTCTCTAGAATAGCCTTGGAATTAGATTTTTAAAAGTTTTTATTATGAAAAATTTCAAATATACTCTAAAGAAACACCCACAAATGTATCACACAGCTTCAATAATTATCATCATGATTTTGCTGCTCTTAAAAATTTTTTGCTGCTTTGAGTTACCATGTTCCGTAATAGTAGATGATAGGTACATTTTTATTTTTCAACTTTTATTTTTATTTAAAAATCCTGAAAATTAGATGGTGAAAGAAGGCAATATAAACAAAAAATGTGGAGATATTTGAGGAAATATATATATTTCTTTCTCAAGGTAGTATCTCTTAGGGTGAGATAATATTTACTTACTTATTTGTCATAAAACATAATAGTTAAATAATACACGTGTAAAAGAATTGTGTGGTCTTTGTTGCAGGGATTTAAACTCAATAAACTAAAACTATGAAAGTTGGGTCTAAATATTTTTTGGAATTTTCTAAAAGATATGAAGAAAGTATCAGTTTTAATATATCAAGTATAAGAAACAAAGGTTGGTTTTCTATCATGACTGAAGGAAGAGAAAGTGAGTCCATTCTGAAAATAATGAGTTCATTCTTAAAGTATATCATCATTTCTGATAAAAATCCATGTGAACGATAAAGGAATGTATCTTCTTTTCAGATTTACCCACTAGATTGGGGATTAACAAACTGTAGACTATGGTTCAAATTCAGCTTTCCTCCTATTTTTATAGTCCTGGAAAGCTAGGAATTTTAAAAACATTTTTAAAGGTTGAAAAATCAAAATCAAAATAATACCAAAAAAAATCTACCCTGCACAACCAACAGAGTGGCCACAATTCAAGACTGACAAGACAAATATTGATAGGGCTATGAAGTAACCTGAATTCTTACACTTTGTTGATGGGCATGTAAAACTCCCATGGTACTGCTTTAGAAATATTTTGAGAATTTATTGTGAAAATAAACACATGTGACTTTTATGAGACAGACATTTCTCTTCCTAGTTATTTACCCAAAGTAAAGGAAAGCAAGTGTCCACAAAAAGACTTGTTGAAGAACTTCCATAGAAGCTTTATTCATATGAGTTTCAAATTGGAAATGGCCCAGCTGTTCATCAGTTGGAAGAATAAATAACAAATTATATCCTTCAATTAATTGGCTATGATTGAAGAATAAATAGAAATAAACTGTTGATAGACCAATGTATCAGTAATGTATCAATGAATATCAATAATGTATTGATTCAATAAATTTGAAAACATTATTTTGGGTAAAAGAAAGTTTTACTTAAAAATATATACTTTTTTCCATTGAAATGAGGTTCTAAAATGGGGAAAAATAATCATGGTGGAAACAGAGCAATTATTGCCTCTGAGAGTTTGAGGGTGGAGATTTATTGGAAGAAATACAGAGGAATTTTCTGTGAGTGACAGACATGTTCAATGTCTTGGTAATGGTTTAGGTTGTACATGTGTTATGTATTTGCTAGACCTCATGGAAAGGCATACTTATATGTGGCATTTTGTTTTATGCAAATTTTACCTCAAGAGAAACAAAACTGAGCCAAAAATATTGAACTGTAGTTAATGATGCATGTTGAAGTATTAGGGGAAGAGTATAATAATGTCTGCAACTAACTTAGAAATGCAAGCAAAAATAAGATGAAATGTTAGGTGCAAAGAGAAATGGATAGATATTAGAAACATGAGAAAGTATTAATTGTAAAATGTTGATGGTAGAATTTAGGTCTTCTGTACATGGATGTTCACTGAAATGTTATTTTCACCTTTTATGTATATTTGGAAAGTTTTATAATAAGTTGTAAGGGGGAGAAATAATAAGTAAATTAATTTAAAAAGAATGGTGCAGGAAAATTTTAGGAATTAATACATTTTGTTGGAAAATAGTTATATTCATTCATTTGCAATTGTCTATAGTTGCGTTTACAATATGGCAGAGTTAAGTAGTTCTAATCATGACCTTGAGCCTGCAAAGTCTAAAATATTTACTATTTGCCTTTTTATAGAAGGTCTGCCAACCCCTGCACTAAATTATTCATTAAATAATAAATATTCATTAAAAAGCAGTGACTGTGCTTTTTGCACTCAGCATCTAGCATAGTGCCTAGACCACAGAACACTCTCAAAAATGTTTGTTGAATTTATTCTTTAACCATGGTCATATGATTTTTATTATTGATGCTGACCTTGATCACCTGGCTGAGGTAGTATTTTGTGAGTTTTCTCCACTGCAATATCCATACCCCCTACCTTTCTACACTGTATTCTTTGGATGAAAGTCACTGTGTATAATCCGTATGGTCATATGAATTAATCTCTTCTTCCAGTTAGTGTATGCCTATCTTCCTGTGTTTGTTCTCCATGGGGCATCCAGTTCTTTAGTTTCCTGTTCCCTTGGGCAGTTCTCTTCTCAATGAAAACTATTTAGTCTGGACTTCACGATGCCATTCATTCCATCATGTTCTCTCTTGCACTTCATAACCTCTTACTCTACTTTGTTTGCTGTTCTAGTCCTCAGACTAAGGCCACTTCTGTTGTCTTCTTTTCTCCCAAACTATTGACTACTTTAGGGGAAAATCACATAATTATGTGTTAATCATTAGTCTAAATTCATGTTTTTTTTTAACTTTCAGTGGATTCTTCGTGCTGCCTGCTAATGCTTTTTCATTCTTTATTTAATATCTGCTTTATATTTAGATTTTCTAAAACCTTCCCATACCTGGGTGGCTCCCATTTCTATCACTGTCTCACTCATTTTTAGCATTTGCCATTTACTTTATTAAGAATATTCAGGAGCTGGAGTTGTGGCTCAGTGGTAGAGCACTTGCCTGGCATGTGTGAGGCCCTGGGTTCGATCCTCAGCACTGAATATAAACAAACAAATAAATAAATAAAATTTAAAAATCCATTTACAACTAAAAATTTTTTTAAAAAAGAATATTCAGGTTGTTTTATTCAAGTCTCCACAGCTTCCCTCTTTTTTACTGCCACATCTCTTTTTGCTCCATTCCTCTGAAATGAACTATCTGCTTAAATGTGAGATTAAGCTCAACATTTCTAAAACTGAGCTTATTTTGTTCTTAAAGTGAGCATCTCTTCCTAACCTCCCTATTTCTATTAATAGATAACCATCAGTATTACAATAATTCAGACTGAAATACCTTTGATCTCTGTTTCTTTTATGCAAATAGCCACAAAGTTTGATAAATTATTTCCTATAGTCTTATAGTCTGCTCTTTCTTTTCATTGCCATATATTGATGATGATGATGATAATGTTGGTATTGATGATTTCTATTGAGTGCTTACTTTTTTCAGACATTGTGCTTTAATCTTTGTTATTCTTGTACTTTTCAACTTTCAATCTATCTTCTCTTGTCATCTCCTTAGATACTCTTAATATTATTACCTTGAATTACAAGAAGATGAACCCTTATAACATATCTCACTGCCTTTTAATATGTCTTCAGTGAATCCAAATTGCTTAACAAATGAAATTCTTTCTCCAAAGCCGAGCACTTAAGAATTTTTACTATCTGTCCCCAGCTTCCCTTTCCATATTGTCAATCTCTGCTATCTTATAACTGTCCTGTGTACCTATCCTAATGATTCTTTCTCTTTCCCTTTTGCAGTAACACTTTCAGTATTTTGTTTTCCTGTCCTGGAAAGCCCTTTGTGCTTACTTGCATTATGAAAATTCATCTATTTTGTGAGAACCAGCTCAGATGGCATCCCTTTTTGATTTACTGTGTAATCTTACTCTCGGACTTTTTTATTCTCTTATCATTTTATAGCTCTCCTTTAACAGTTGCATTCTTTAGTAATTTCTGCTACATCTTTCTGACTTTTGTTTTATTTCTTTTCAAAGAATTAACAGTTTAAAGGAGTTTAGTGAGTTTGTGTTGTTATCAGTAAATGAGTTTGCTGTTTCTTCTATCCATTATTACAATATTTAATTTTAAAAATATTTACTGAATTCCTACTGAGTAGAAGACACTATCTTGTAAAGATTTAGATATAAATTAGACACAAATTCTGCATTTAGGTAACTATATGTTTTTTAATTGAAATAAGACTTGTACACAAGTAGCTGAAATACAAGGTAGAAAGTGCTATGTGATAAAAAGGAAGTGCCCAGGAAGTCTTGTAGCAGAACTGGAAAGGACAGGGTAAGGGTGTTTTCTTAACAGGTTGTTCTTTGCTCTTTGTAATAAGAAAAAGAAAAAAAAAAAAAAACAATGTTGACTTTGATCACCTGACTGAGGTAGTGTTTGTGAGTTTTCTCTACTATAATATTAATTTTGCCCCCTCCTCTTTCCACACTATGCTCTGGATGGAAATCACTATGTACAGCCCACACCTAAGGAGTGGGACATTTTGTTCCACTTCCTTGAGGAAAGAATATCTACATAAATTATTTGGAATTTCTTTGTATAAGTTGTCTCTTTTCCCTCATTTATTTGTTTAATCATTTATTTATATCAGTATAGAGTTATGGCTTGCTTCATTTATTTATTTATTTTTATGGAGCTGGGAATAGAACCCAGGGCCTTGTTCATGTTAGGCAAGTGCTCTACCATTGAGATACACCTGCAGTCTAGACACATGGATATTTATTTTATACTTCAGATTTTAATCCAGTACCACTTTATTTTGATGCTTACAATTAATTTGGCATGTTAAAGCAAGATCAGAGTTCTGCTGTGAAGAATGCTGTTTATTTTTATTTATTTCAGTGTTATTCAAAGTTGTATGATCTTAAAACCCTATTTCCATGTAAAATACATTGGGGATGTTTCAAAGAAAGTAGTATTTGAAGAAACTGAAGTATGATGTTTATAAATGCATGAATTTTCTTGTGAACGAATACTAGTCAGCATATAGAGCTCTAATTATTTGCCACTTACCATTTTGGTGCTTTACAAGTACCCACTTCTTTAATATTCATGACAACTCTGTGAGGCAAGTCATTATCAATTCAGTAACATTAGCAAAAATGAGAATCTTGTTATTTATATATTACTTTAGTTCTTATTCCCTTTCTAACTGGTCTTTCTGCCTTCTGTATTGTCACCCCATTTCTTAAAATTTTCAAGACTTTCAAGATAGAGTTTTTCAACTTTACTGTAGCTTACAAGGCAATAAACGGTCTTGTGCGTCTTTACTATTTCAGTGTCATTTCTTGTCTTCTCACACTGTCCATCCATCCCTTCCATTCATCTTGTCATTCTCTTCTCTCAAATAGTGTGTAATCTCCTTCATTTGCTCCAGCAGAACTTTTGCTTATACCATTGCTTCTACCTGAAACTGCCTCCCCTCAATCCCATATATTTCTGGATAACTTACATCATTTAGGTTATCAGGTGAGAGGACAGTTTCTTTAGGAAGGTTCTCTAACTCCCAAATCTCAGATACTCAGGTTTTCCTGTGTCTCTCATCTTCTGCCCAGTGCTTCCACACCACAATATTTCAATTATTTATATTGTCACATAAATTCTGTGGTCTCTATTTTCACCACTGTGTCTCTGGCTCAGTGCATGGATCATGGGAGGTGCTCAATGGATATTTCAGTAAATTATGGTTTAATTAATAATTAATTAAACAAAATATAGAAAATGTACCCTACTATAAAATATTCATACAGTTTAAATTTCACTTCTAAAATATTACATAAAGGAAACAATCAGAAACATTGAAATTTATGTTCATGATCATAGTAAGGAATCTATCCAGTCCAAACTCTGGCAGGTATTCATCTCTGATCTTCTTTCACTTGATGATTTCTGGGACTGGGGAACACCTGATTTCATTGAGTTAAGTCTTATTGTGGTTAAAACTTTCTACTTGTTGGAATGCTTTGTTCTCATATTAAATGGTCGTATGTTCTTTATAACCTTTACTCACTGGTCCTAGTTTTATGCTTTGTAGGTATTCGTTATGTTAATAAGTGAGTCCATGAGTGAAGAAGACATGAACGAATCCACTTAATAACAATTTGAGTTCTTGAGGGAACCTAAAGTATGATCTAGCTTGAAAGCAGTCACTTGCTTCTGCATCTTGGATTTCCCCTTATTGTCAGGAAATCCTATTCCTGTTTATGATATCTATGGAAATGACTCCATTGGTAACCCCAGACTTTGATGAAAATGACTCCTCTGACCTTCTAACTGAGATTCTTGCAAGGAGTACCTTGTAAAAGTCTTGACCACCTTTTCATTATCTTATAGATATGGGACAGGAAATGGAGAAGACATGGCCAACCACTGGGATCTCTTTTTTTATTATTTAAAAAAGGATTTTCAAGAAAGTGGTATGAGTTCCATTGACAACCAGAAGTTTTGTTATATCTAGCTTCTTGTTTCTTTGCTCATTCTTTTATGTTCTTTCTGTGGTTTATGGCATATAGACTGATATATTTCTTAGGAACTTTTTATGACTCACCTCTTGATATTTGTGTATCAGTCTTATCTCCTCCCACCTCCACCATAAAGCAATGTGTTTCTTAGTGAAACAAATGCTGTTTTATCAATCTTTAGTGACATGTATTTAATTGGTGTCCAGTAAATATTTGTCAAATCAATGACTTTTCATTATTTGAAAAGTCAGATATTATATATTATTTACTCTCATTCTAGCTATAAAAAGCCCAGGTTTTCTAAATTGAACATCTTTTTTCCTCTTGTCTTCCCTAATTTTTAGTTGGGTTCTTTCTTTTGTTGTGAATTTTGTCTTAGTTCCTGTTTCTCTTGTGGATCAAAGAAAAAACGATAAAGATTTGATCAGCATTTCTTCAGTTCTTAAGTCTTTCTCATTCTGTTCTCATGTGTTTCTTTTTACGTTTCCTCATTTGTAAAATGAGGGTAAAGAAACACATTTTATATATTTAATAAAATAATATATGTAAGCACAAGTAAATTATATAGCCATTTTCTCCTCTCTTTCCCATTTAGAACTTTCTTCTGATGTCTAATTTGTTTCTAGTATATTTTTTTCTTTTAACTGTTTTCACTATGTATAATATCTAATGTTAAATGTAAAGTGGTAAATCAAAATTCTTAATACAGTGGAAGATCCACTTAGTAGAACTGTGATAAGTCACTTAAAAATGTACTTTATAATTTTAGTGTTAGGGTTAGGGGATCCTGGATTTAAAAAAAACTATGTGTTTGGAACAACTGGAAAATTTTGAATGGACTAAATATTAGACAATATTATGAAATATTGCTAATATTTTAGGAGTAATAACAGTATTGTGGTTTGTAGAAGAAGGTCTTTATTCTAAGAATATGAACTCTTAACATATTTAGGGGTGTTTAGAAAAATTACAGTGTAATAGCTGTACATTTTTGTTTTAATAGGTTGTTATTGGGATTCGTTAAGTATCATACATTTACAGAATAATTAAACTTAATTTACTCTTTTATTATCTGCATTTTCCCTAATGATGTTTATCATCCTATGATTTATTGGCATTTTAAAATTTATCCACATTTCTATTCTCAACTAGAATGTCAGTTCTTTGAGGACGGAGACTTTCTGTTAATCACTGCTGTGTTAGCTTCCCATTACTATAAAAAAGTAACTCAGATGACTAACTTATAAAGACAAAAGGTTTATTTTGATACATGGTTTTAGAGGTTTCAGTCCATGATTGAGTAGACTCAGTGCTTTTAGGTCTCTGGGAGGGTTGCTGAAGAACATGTTGCAGGGAGCATATGCCAGAGTGAAACTGCTCACCTCATATCCAGGAAGCAAAAGTAGAGGTTCCGCAGCCCCCAACAAAGCCATGACTCAGTTACCTAAGGACCTACACTTGGCCCCACCTCTCACAAGCTCTACCACTTCTCAGTTGTGCCACCCTGGGAACCAAGTCTTTAATACTTTGGGAGACATTTAATATTCAAGTTGTAGCACTGCTTAATTCATAGTACTAAGGATACCTGATACATAGTAAGCAATAATCAGTATTTGTTGAGTGAACTTACGAATAAGGTTAACAATCTCAACCAGCTTTACCATTTCTGTGTAATTCATAATAACTTTAATATTTTTGATTAGTTCCAGTGTTATTAATGAAAAATAATAATGAATTATTCCTTATATTTTAGGGAAGTTGGGAAAAAAGAATTTTGAAGAGTTTAAATAGTATGTGCACTGAACTGAGTATCCCATTGGCACGAAAGGTACTTTTTAACATTTTTATACTTAAGTATTTTATTGTGAATTAATTACAAAAAAGAATGATGAAATTGTATAACTATTAGGTACATTATTCCTTTTTAACTAGTATATTAGCTTGTTTTAAAATAAAAATCTGTAAATGCCAATCATTTGGGTATATTCTATATAGATTTCTATTATGAATGCTTAATGATTATTCTAACATACCTTTTTTGAGAATAAGTAGAAATGTGTAATTTATAGTATAGATTATTTAGTCATTTAGCTATAAAAATTATGAGCATACTTAAAAGATTTTAATTACCTTTCATCTCCTTACATTTTGGCTAATTCAGCACAGTAGTCATAATCTTGAATTGGAGATGGAGTTTAGGCATACTATGATCTTGTAATAGGCAATGTAGTAGTAATATAGGAAATGAAAAGAAAAATTTATCATCTCTTTGCAGAACTAGAATTCCCCTTAGATCTAATACTCAATATTAATCTGTCACTCTGGGCTTTGGTGGGTAGAGATGGGAAAGAAGAGAAAGATCATGTGGCACATTCTAGATTCTACATAGCTGTCCACAAATAAGAGAAAATGTTTCCCTTCATTTTATTCACCCTACCTACTATTTATCCCTGTGGTTGACAGATATAGTGGATATTCTTTTGATAATATCCCAAGACAAGCCACTGAAGGCACCAGAACGGTGGTGTAAAAAAAGAATAAATTTATATGAAAAACTGTCTAAATATGTAGTATTGTATAATATACTGTCTTTCATATAGGAAGATGATGCTACTGACTCACAGTCACACTCTCTTGGCCAGTCCCCCTTGCGATGCATTTCTGAGATTGCTGGATGGGGTAAGAGATGTAGTACGTGGCTGAGGAGCAGTTTTTATTTGTGAAATTTACTGGCCAGTACAAATCATTTATCTTCTTTTCTTGGACTCATTAGCACCTTGAGACTAGATATAATGTAATAGTTAAATAATTAATTTAAGTATAATTCCAAAAAGTTTCATCATATTTAATAAGATTATTTTTCCTTCTGTTATGGTAGATTATTGAATTTTTAAATAAGTTGTTGATTCTTATTTTTAAACTGCATTGCTAAGTTTCAGAAATAAAACCAATGTGAAATTTACTACCTTTTTTAGAGACCAGTTGGAGAACAAAAAGAACTTCTCAATAAATGGAATGAAATGGGAACTGATGAACCAGGTACATGAAGAATTTTCTTCAAAATGGAGTAATGGGAAAAGAATTGTCTTCCTCACTATGATTCCAGAATAACACAATAAGTAATACTCTTGAAGGATAACAACTTTTCCTCCCCACTGATTTTTCTGTCATCTGTTTTGTTTGCTTATACTCCTACTTTGCAATTTAAGAATTCCTAACTTTGATCTGTGTTTTCCGTTATTTTGAGGCTATTTAAGTTGGTTATCCTTTTTAAAAGTAACATTTTAAAACATTTTTACAAAAGAGTAAACAAAATTTACTGATTCCCAAGACTCTTATCTTTTAATTAAGGTAAAAATTGTTTACCATTTTTGTTGGTGCATTCTAATTATACATAATAATACAATTCATTATGTCATATTTGTGTAAGCATATAATTTGATCAGTCTCATTCCCCTGTACCTTCCCTTTCTCTCTCTTCTCCCTTACCCTCATCTGCTTGCTCTACTGATTTCCCTTTTATTTTTTTATTATTTTAGTGCATTATATATATGTATATGAAAACTGTATTCATTATGGTGTTTTTGTACTTAGATATAGCATAATTTGTTAGATGTCATTCTTCAATACTTCCCCATACCTTTCTCTCCATCCCCTTCCTCTTCTCTATCAGTTTCCCTTCTATTTTTATGAGATCAAATCAAGGTAAAAATTGTGTAACAACTGTACTTCATTTATTATGATAAATGAATACCTATAATTGTACAGACAGACAAATACATATTCATTCTCCTGCCCTCCCTCTACTGCTTTAAAAAAAAAAGTCAAGGCAATAGGGTAAGAAATAAGTGTCTTAATAGAGGAAGCGGTGCACAATTAGAATTGAAAAGGGTAACAGCTCAATATAACTAGAGGAATTCAGTAATAATGCATTGTTTATATTCCAAGTACTTGGAGAATTCCCATATAGAACCTTTATATTACAATGACAATGTTTTGTTAACTCACTTCTAAATAATTTATTTTAATTTATCCAAGAGACTTAATTTTTTCTGTAATATGCCATTTAGGCTGGAAGGAGAGAGATTGTATTCATTTTTTTATCCCAATATTTAACACAATGTATGACAAATAATCAGTACTCAGCAAGCATTTGAATTGATCTGTTTGCACAGAAACATAGGAAAGAGACATTTATTACTACTAAGATTTCATATATTAACTGAAATTTTGTTTTAATCTGTCTTATTCTAGATTTAAGCCTTTTCCGACCTGTATATGCACCTAAGGATTTTCTTGAGGTAGGTTCAGTTGGATAATTATACATACACAGATGAAGGAATAATGTGAGAGAAATGATAATGTAAAAATATCTCCAGGCAGAGAAATCACCCTGTACAATATCCTAGAACCACTGAAAGAGTGGAATGGCATCAGAGTTGTGTTTGGATTGCTCCTTGAAAATATATTGGAATATGGAAAGATTAGAGGCAGATAAATTAAGTAGGAAGATTTTACTTAACAAATAGTGATTATAAATCATGTAGCCTGCAGCCTGCACATACAGGTATTCAGTACATCTTTTCTTTCTTTATTCCTTCCCTATTTTAGGAGTACAGGGAAGGAAAGTATGAGGGGTCAACTGAAAAAACAGCATTGGAAATGGAAAGAATTTAACAGATTTGAAGAAGATTTTAAGGAAGATTTAGGAACTGAGTAGACATGGGACTATGATAAAAAGAAATGATAATGCCTCCCATTGTCTAGATTGGGTAGTTGGGCAGAGGTATTCGCTTGGGATGGAGAATATAGGAGGAGGGACATGTCCATTAGTGAAGATGAGTGTAGTTAAGTTTGAGAGGTATAGCAAACATCCAAGTGAAACTCAGTGAGCAATGGAAACTCGTTGTTTTAATTCACCCAAGTTTAATTCTACTCTTTCTCTTGGATCTTGCATGTAATACTGTCAGTTTTACCTTTAAAATGATATCCAGTTCTTGTCATCACTACTACTGCCACCTCCAGCCTATCATCTTTCATTTGGACTATGTAGTAGTGACCTAACTGGCCACTACTTGTCCACCTAGAATCTGTTCTTAGCACAACTTTCAAATGAAATTTAAATGCAATTCAGAACTGGTCACTCTTCTGGTATTCAGTGGCTTCCCATCTTATTCTACATAAAATCCAAAGTTATGACAGTGGCCCAAAACACCCTCTTTAATCTGATGCTCCATCATATCTCTGAGTTTATTTTGTTACTTTTCCTCCTGATTTGTTCTATTCCAGTCACGTTAGCCTCATTGCTTTCCCTCAACTTCCTTCCAAATCCCCCCCCCCCCCAACTTGTTCCTTCATTCCTCTTATCTTTGCTTAAATATCACCTCGGCAAAGCACCCCCTAACTCCCTGGTTGGATTTCTTTATGTCTTTCCAGCTTTTTCTATACAGCAATTATCATTATGTAACCCATTCTTTCTTTATTTTGCTTATTGGCTGCTTTCTACCATAACAATGGAAGGTTGGATGGAGGTTTTCTTTCTGTTTTGTTCATTGCTGCAACAATTACACAGTGTCAAGGAATTGACAACAAGCACAGGACTTCATAGGGTCACCCCATTAGACTTTTTTGCAGCAAGAGTAAACACAAAGAAACTTACATTTCCAGCAGCGTTCCATCTGTCCTTTGTTAGTTGCATAACATATGCTTGTTCTTTGGTTATAAAATATCAAGATCATGAGGGCTATCTTGGTCTGTTACATCAGGGACAAGTTTTTCAAGAGGGTCTTTTATACCCCCATTGGTTAAATCAGGTGCCAAATTTTTTTTTCAAAATATAACATAAGCAAGCAAATATGGAATATTTCCAGGGGAGGTGTGGACATTAAATAGCCCATTACAGACGATTAGTTAGTGTATTTCTTCTCATCTTGACTAACGAACGGGTCACATTACGAGATTTACAAGTATCCCTGGAGGTAAGAACAAAGCTACCACAAACCAGTTATGAATTAATTCTAACCTTAACTGCTCTGTCACCAACAGGAAGAATAGTGCTTAGCACATGGTTACTTAAGGACTGGAATTTCATGTAATTTTTACAAAGATAACTTTGTAATAGCTTATAACATCTTGTTTCCTTGAGGACTGTTGCTGAATTTGTTCTTTTATTAGTCATACTGAGATATTTTTCTTTAATTCAATAATATTTTCTTAATTATATCTGCATTTCTAATATTTTCTCTTTTCTGTTATCCATATATTCAGTTTCTTCTCCACTTGCTGTTTTCTGCTTGGGAATTGTCGTGCAGTATAATTTTTTATTTATGTAATTAGGCTAAAGTTGTGCTGTTCTATACTTATGTACATTCAACATTGTTTGTTAAAACAAACACCATTGATATTTCCAATTTTGATATAATATTTATAATTTTAGAAAAGTCATTTGGCCTCATAACTCATTCCATTTTATCAGCCATCAGTTACCAACTCCTTTTGCCTTCTTCAGATATCATGGTATTCTATCATTATAATCTCCTCCACTGGACTTTTCGTGGTTTCTTTTCCTCAACAGTCTCAGTTAAAAATATTTTTAGGTTATTATTATTCTGTCCAGAAAAATATATGTTGTTAGAAAAATAACAAAACATTACTAAAGATGGGACTGGGGTTGTGGCTCAGTGGTAGAGAGCTTGCCTCTCATGTGTGAAGCACTGGGTTTGATTCTCAGCACTTCGTATAAATCAATGAATAAAATAAAAGTCCATCAAAAACTAAAAAAAAAATATTTTAAAAAAGTTACCAAAGAATAAATTTATCTACATATCCTCACATAGCAGTAACCATATTGTTAGTATACTTTTTATTATTTTTTAATTTTTTTGGCACTGGAATTGAACTCAGGGATACTTTACCACTGAGTTGCATCCCCAGAACTTTTAATTTTGAGAACTAGTAATATTATAAACATTTTTCATAGCCATTATATAAATGGAAGCCTATTAGGCTATATTTTATTATATGAATTAACCTTAATTTACTTAAGTAATCTCCTCTAATACGATATTTAAGTTGTCTCATATTCTTCTGTTATAATAGTGCTTTTTTTTTTTTTTTAAAGAGAGAGAGAGAATGAGAATTTCAATATTTATTTTTCAGTTTTTGGCAGACACAACATCTTTGTTTGTATGTGGTGCTGAGGATCGAACCTGGGCAGCACGCATGCCAGGCGGGCACGCTACCACTTGAGCCACATCCCCAGCCCTATAATAGTGCTTTATTAATAGTCTTTCATTGTCCAAATTTCATATGGAATGCACTGCTTGAAATTTCATATTCATATTCCATACTCGCAGAAGTAAGATTACTAGATTTTAAAGGATATACAAATATCTAAGATGATTTTTATCTGCAAACTTTTGAAAGCTGTAACGGTCTTTTTTCTTAGCTGTGCTTTTGAAATTTCTCCTTTTGTTTTTGTTTGTTTTGTTGGATTTGGTTTAGAGGAGATACCCTGCAATGTTATTCTACCATCTTCCTCAAAATCTTATCAATTTCTGTTTTTAAAAGTCTTGGAGTTCATTCTAAAAATTTTTCTGGTAACTACTTCCATGTTATAATCAATTTTTATTTTCTTCACCATCAAAAGATTTTATTTCTAACTAAATTCTTAACTTTTTAATTTTATAAAGTAGATCATTAATTAGGATATTAAAACCATTTTTAAAGCATATTTATGGTATTGTATTTTAATATTTCAATACAATTTTAAAATGTGATTAAAATATATGTATAACTCCAAACAGTTTTTAATTTTTTACTGATGTACCAAGAATATCACTGCTTGACAATTAACCAATTTTGTTGGATTTGTTTTTAAAGGTATTAATTAATCTTCGCAACCCAAATTATGAAAATGGTGATTCTCTTAGTTTCAGGACTCATTTGGGTTTAATCCAAGTTCCTCTGAAAGTAAAAGACATTCCTGAATTGGTAAGTATAGGCATTTTAAAATAAGTTAATGCACTTTAGAAGACAGCCATTAGAAAAATATTATATTGCAGCATGTGTCTAAGGTAATAGAGTAATGTACTCATTAAACAAATTAATAAAAGTAACATTTCTTTTTTATTGCAAATATGTACATAGACAAAGTGGGTTGCTTTTCTTGTAGAACTCAAAGTGAGTTTACATTGATCTATAAGTGCTTTTGCTTATTTCTTATTTTAATAAACAACATAGATTTATAAGACAGTTTATGGAGATTCAGGTTCCTGTTTTATGGCTATAAAAATGATTGAAACAAATAGTGAGTTTTATAAAATTATTTTTAAGCAACTAAATTTTATTTAATTTAACCAACTTCATGGAGCTTGTAACATGGTGAGGCACTGAAGGAAACAGGGAAATAAGGATGAATTAGAGACTGCCATTGCTCTGGAGACCATCACATTTAAGAGAGAGGTATTAGCTTTAAAATGAAATATAGGGCTGGGCGCAGTGGCTCATGCCTGTAATCCCAGCTGAGGCAAGAGGATCGGGAGTTTAAAGTCAGCCCAACTCAGTGAGACCCTTTCTCTAAATAAAATACAAAATAGGACTGGGAATGTGGTTCAGTGGCCCAGTGCCCGGAGTTCAATCCCTGGTACCCCCCTGCACCACCAAAAAAAATGAAATATAGGGAGATGGTAGAGTTAATGTATTTTCACTCCTTCTTCATTAATCACCCCCAAACCAATAAGGAGTACAGAATGTAAATACTATCTGTGGTGAAATAGGAAACACCTTAGAACTCTGTGCTTTAGTGTTTTAAAGGAGAGCTCATATTAGGGGAAAGGCCAAACCTGAATACCTCCAGAAGATGAAAAATGTGGATGAGAGGTCTCCGTAATCAATTCAATCTTTTAACTACAAATCCGCCATTTTGTGCTCAGCTTTATTATTTCTAGAACTGGACCCTGTAAGCACTTTCCCCTTATCAGCTGGCCTAATGTTAGTCTTTGTCAATAGAAAGTTCTAGAAAGACACTGTTGGGATGTAATATGAGGAAAGAGCCTCCCTTCGTGGTTCCTGTGTGCAGAAACCAACCGATAAGCATACAAGAGGCCCAGTAATACTCTTTCAGCAGCACTCAGCAGCCCAGCTCCTGAGACTATATTTTTGTGTTGTTGTTGTTCTGCCCCTTTTGGGCACCACCCTCTGTTTCTGTGGCAGCCACTTCCTCTTCATAAATGTCTAAATCTTGGCTTTGAGGACTGCTGAGTTCTTTTTTTTTTTTTTTTAATTTTTTATTGTTGGTTGTTCAAAACATTACATAGTTCTTGACATATCACTGCTGAGTTCTTAATTCCTTCTTTGTTTACTCTCATTCAACTGAGATGTCATAGTTTCTGCATTTACTAATTCTGTTTTTCCTTCTTCACATTTCATTACTGGTTTTATAACTAAACATTGACTTATACAAGAAGGAAAATAATTTTCTCCATAGAACTTGGAAGGGCTCAGGAATCAGACACTATGTGTCACAGAGGCCATGGTGATCCAGAGGACTGAAAATGGAGAAGTATGTGGAAGTCTGGGTCAAGAAGACATAGACTCCAAGATTCCAACCCCTGTGCATAGTTAGGTAACTCTTTCCCCACAGGAGATCAGAAGTATATTCACCAGACACAGAATCAGAAAGGCTGTAAACTCAGAAACCGTAGACATAGACAGGGCAAGTATCAGGCATGGAAAACAGAGGGATTAAAAAATATTCTGCCAAATAGTGAGAATAATACACTTATCCCTATTACCACTACTGTGCCTTTCCCATCCTCCACCGTCTCTAGAATACCAGAGAAAAGACTAACATATGTAAAGAACCCTTACAAAAAACAGACTGGCTGGCTATACAGTTGCCTCATGGTGAAGCCCAGCTCACTGTATGTCTAATCCTTGAAGACTGAGCTTCCAGGCAGTTTTTTATTGCCTTATTTCTAAATATGAATGAACAACCTTGGATCCCTAGACATTTGAACTCTTCTAATTTGAAAGACAGAGACCAAAACTAAATCCAAGAAAGAAACTCCCAAAACAAAACTGAAAAACCAAGAAAAACCAATTTAGGAAATGATTATTAATAGGTATTTCAGGTTTGGGTTTATGTTCACACAGGATGTAATTGGCCATAACTTGATTCACTTAAATTTGTGGAATGATATAGGACAGGAAACGTATCCCGTTAGCATACCAGCACACCATGATCAAATACATCACTGAGAGTCCTTAAGCCATCCAGGAGCTATTTCCCAGCCCCCACAAAGAAATACACACAATTGGAAGTGACAAAGCATATAGGAACAACATAAGGAAGTCTTATACACAATAGAAACCATTTCTCATGATGCACAGGGGCATAGCTTCCAGGACTTCTCAAAGGGCACCACACAGGGCAGCTAGGGCCTGTGTTTTCCAGTAATTTTTTTTTTTTTTTTTAGATTTTATTTTTTACAGTGCTGAGAATTGAAACAAGAGCCTTGTGCATGTTAGTCAAGTGCTCTACCCCTAAACCACAACCATAGTCCTCCCCCCAAACTTAGTACTATAACTGGCATTGCTCTGAGCATTTTTTGGTAACCCAGTACATTTTTAGGGAAATACTGCTGGGAGAAGGTAAACTGAAGGTCATCTTGATATGGACATTTCTTCCTGATAGAAAACTTTAAAGAAACTTAATATTCTCAGATAAGAGCAGATATTACTCATGAATTTTAAAAAAGAATTTCATTAAAATAAAATAACAAAACTAAAATTAAATAATGAACGAACTTTTTGGAATAGGAGCATGACATATAAAACAAAAATTGGTATGAGGACATGGGTTGAAAAAGTGGCAGGAAGGAGCTAGGCAGTGAGTCCTGATCTCCTCACAACACAGAAAATGGGCACTGAAAGAAAAGTAGAATTGAGAGGTGGGTGACAAAGTAAATGCTCTAAGACTGAATATTACAAAGTATGAGAACTGGAGAGACCTAAAGATTAGTTACCAGAGTAGAAGGTAAATGCAGAGTTCCTAGTCCCAAACCTGAAGTGGGGAGAAGCAACAGAGAAAGAGGGTGCAAAAAATCTCTTAAGCTCACCCACTAAAACACATTTGGAAAGGCAGATAAAATTTAAAGTGTGACAGGAACAGCAGGGTTCTTAAAACAGAGCAAACAGGGGCTAGAGTTGTAGCTCAATGGTAGAGCCCTTGCTTAAAACGTGTGAGGCACTGGGTTCCATCCTTAGCACCACATAAAAATAAGTAAACAAAATAAAAACACTGTGTCCATCTATAACTAAAAATTTTTTTCTTTTTAAATTTTTAAAATTTTATTATTTTTATTATATATGACAGAATGCATTACAATTCTTAATACTCATATAGAGCATAATTTTTCATATCTCTGGTTGTGTACAAAGTATATTCACACCAATCCATGTCTTCATACATATACTTTGGATAATAATGATCATCACATTCTACCATCATTTCTAATTCCATGCCCCCTCCCTTCCCCTCCCGCCCCTCCACCCTGTCTAGAGTTTATCTATTACTCCCAAACTCCCTCTCCCTATCCCACTATGAATCAGCCTCCTTATATCAAAGAAAACATTCCACACTTGTTTTGGGGGGTTTGGCTAACTTCACTTAGCATTATCTTCTCTGACTCCATCCATTTACCTGCCATGATTTTATTCTCTCTTTTTTTTATTTAAAGAGGTTTTTAAAAATTATTTATTATTTTTAATTGATTTTTAAAAAATGACAGTGGAATGCATTACAATTTTTATTACACATATATACCACAATTTTTCATATCTCTGTATATAAAGTATGTTGACACCCAATTCGGGTCTTTATGCATGTACTTTCGATAATGATGTCTATCACATTCCACCATCATTTCTAACCCCATGCCCCCTCCTTTTCCTTCCCATCCCTCTTCCCTATCTAGAATTCATCTATTTCTCCCATGCTCCCCATCCCTACCCCACTATGAGTCAGCCTCCTTATATCAGAGAAAACATTCGACCTTTTTTGGGTGGGGATTGGCTAACTTCACTTAGCATTATCTTCCTCAGTGCCATCCATTTACCTGCAAATGCTATGATTTTATTCTCTTTTATTGCTGAGTAAAATTCTATTGTGTATAAATGCCACATTTTTTTTTTATCCATTCATCCACTGAAAGGCATCTAGGTTGGCTCCACAGTTTAGCTATTGTGAATTGTGCTGCTATAAACATTAATGTGGCTGTGTCCCTGTAGTATGCTGTTTTTAAGTCCTTTGGGTATAGACTAAGGAGAGGGATAGCTGAGTCTAATGGTGGTTCCATTCCCAGATTTCCAAGGAATCTCCATACTGCTTTCCATATTGGCTACAGCAATTTGCAGTCCCACCAGCAGTGTATGAATGTACCTGTTTTCCCACATTCTTGCCAACACTTATTGTTGTTTGTCTTCATAATAGCTGCCATTCTGACTGGAGTGAGATGATATCTTAGAGTAGTTTTGATTTTCATTTCTCTAATTGCTAAGAGATGCTGAGCATTTTTTCATATATTTGTTGATTGATTGTGTATCCTCTTCTGAGAAGTGTCTGTTCAGGTCCTTGGCCCATTTATTGATTGGGTTATTTGGTTATTTGGTGCTTAGCTTTTTGAGTTCTTTATATACCTAGAGATTAGTGCTCTATCTGATGGGTGAAGGGTAAAAATTTGCTCCCAGGATGTAGGCTTTCTGTTCACCTCACAGATTGTTTCTTTTGCTGAGAAGAAACTTTTTAGTTTGATTCCATCCCATTTATTGACTCCTGGTTTTAACTCTTGTGCTATAGGAGTCTTATTAAGGAAGTTGGGGCCTAATCCCAAATGATGAAGATTAGGGCCTACTTTTTCTTCTATTAGATGCAGAGTCTCTGGTTTAATTCCTAGGTCCTTTATTCATTTTAAATTAAGTTTTGTGCATGG